TTAATGGCAGGACTTCTTTGAGCAGTTTTGTAGGAATGGGGTCTAAAAGACACGTTGATGGTTTGGAGGAAGTAATTATTGAAGTTAACTCAGAAAGATCAATTGGAGAAAAAGAGTCTAACTTAAGGTTTACCTGTCACCTGTCACGGTCATGGGACCACCCGAGTCTAACTCTTACTGCTCAATGTGTAGATCTCAAGTCACAGATCTACACATTGTGCACTTCTTGTGAGAAACCAATCTCTAATCAAAATGTATTTCAGGACCTGCCCTTTCACCTTCTTTTTCCCAGATGGGTGGTATCCAAAATTCATCAGCACAGCATGTCAATAAAAGGGAATGGCAAAGCAATAAAATGAAATGACTAGGGTCAGAAAATATGAAAGCTGTCATGAGCTCATTTTTACAAAGCAATTTGTTCTTGTTCGTTTTGTTGTATTCTTATTTTTCTCATACTATACCCTCTTCTCTGTTTCCCTCCTCGTGCCAACTACAGGAGCAATTTAATCTAAACAGAATGCAGAAGAGTGGAGATGTCATCCTGGGAGGACTGTTTCCAGTCCACTTTTTCTCAAGCATTTCTTACCTCTCTTTTACCTCTAAGCCACAGCAACCTACTTGCCATAGGTGAATATGACAGGAAAACAACAGAAAAAAATAGAGAAACAGGACAAACCTAATGCTAATATAAACATAATTGTAATATCTAAAGTAATTATATTGTGTTGATTAATAAAGCTCAGCTGTTTTCTAAGTATCCTGATGTATTTTTCAAATCAAAATGTTTTTTGTTAGTTTCTATGTACAAGGATTTAGGCAAGCACAAACCATGGCTTTTGCTATTGATGAGATCAACAAAAACTCCAACTTGCTACCTAATGTGACTCTGGGATACACCCTTTATGATAATTGTGTTGAACTTGGAATTGGATTCCGTGGAGCATTGTCATTAATCAGTGGTCAAGAGGAACAGATTATATTACACAATACATGTGTTGGAAATCCTCCAGTTGTAGGGATTGTGGGTGATTCTTCCTCTACTCCTTCTATTGCTATCTCCAGCATCTTAGGTTTGTACAGAGTACCTATGGTAAGTTTTCAGTTTAATATTATTTTTGTTTATATTAACTTAATTGTAAATTAAATGTTTAAAACAATGTACAATATAGAGTCTGTATTTTTCACAGGTGAGTTATTTTGCCACATGTTCCTGTTTGAGTGACCGTCAAAAGTATCCATCCTTCTTTAGGACGATCCCAAGTGATGATTTCCAGGTTAAAAATCAATCAGGAAAAATATAAAAAGTCAACAGCAGCTGATGAGCAGCACTCATGTTTTAATCTGTATTCACTTAGGTACGTGCTATGATTCAGATTCTAAAATATTTTGGCTGGACTTGGGCAGGTCTGCTCATCACTGATGATGATTATGGACTTCATGCAGCCAGATCCTTACAAACTGAGCTGAGTGTGTCTGGAGAAGGTTGCCTTGCCTATGTTGAGGTTTTACCCACTGACAAAGACACAGATGAACTCAGAAGGATTGTGGATGTGATGAAGAAATCCACAGCTCATGTGGTCATTGCCTTTGTGTTTGAGACTCACATGATAAACCTTATGGAAGAGGTGCAGTTTTAAAAGAATTTGTTTCTCTAAACTGGTTAATACATGTATTATGTCTTTATTTGAATGAGTACAGAAAAGTAATGGTATAGAATTCGTAGAAGTCAAGCAAGTACTTCAATGTCATGATGATGTCAGTCGTTGCTATTTACAATACTGCTTTGTACAATGCACAGATAGAAAGGCAGAATGTAACAAGCCTACAGTGGTTGGCCAGTGAAGGCTGGACAGCAACAGCTGCTGTGCTTCAAACACCTCAGCTCATGCCATACCTGGGTGGTACACTGGGCATCGCTATTCGTCGAGGAGAAATACCAGGGCTCAGGGAATTCCTATTACAAATACGCCCTGATCTGCTTGACAGTAATAGCTATGGAAAGAGCATGGTGAGAGTTCAAAACTTTACTGTGTTAGCTGCAAAAATTTAATTATGTCCTTTAAAAAACAAAAAACAAACAGCAGATGCACACAAACACAGCTATTAATAATATATTTCAATCATATATTTCAGGTGAATCAGTTTTGGGAATTCACATTTCAGTGTAGATTTGCGCCAGCTCCACCAGGCTGGCTGGAAGGTGGAGGAGCATTATGCACTGGACAGGAAGATCTAGAAAATGTGAATACTGAGTTCTTGGACATTTCCAACCTCCGGCCTGAGTACAATGTGTACAAAGCTGTTTATGCTCTGGCATATTCCCTTGATGACATTCTGCAATGCAAGCCAGGAAGGGGGCCTTTCAGTGGGCACCGCTGTGGCACTTTGCAATCACTGGAGCCATGGCAGGTGTGATATTAATTTATACTTCATTTATGAGTAAGTCATTTGTTCTATAATTACTTTCAGTACAACAAAATGTACCCTGTCGGATAAAAAAACCCCCCAATTCAATAAGATGAAATGAGCTGAAGAGAGCTAAATGGGTTTTTCATATTGAGCAAAAGTAGTGTTTAGTATATTTATATTAGAGCACATTAAATAGTATGCATATGTATTGCACAATTAGAGATACCCATGCTTAATTTAGAATTAGATTTTAATGCATTTAAATATAAATGTATAATAAGTGTTAGATTAAATTTGGTTATTGGATATAGAATGCCACTGTCTGCACTGTGAAATTTATTTCTTGTATACTTATACCTTTAACAGCTTGTTTATTACTTGGAAAGGGTAAACTTCTCCACTCCATTTGGTGATCAAGTGTCATTTGATGAAAATGGTGATGTTGTGCCAATTTATGATGTGATGAACTGGTTGTTGCTCCCTGATGGAAGCATTAAAGTTCAGAGTGTGGGTGAGGTTAAGGGGTCATCTTTAAAATGTGAAGAACTCATACTTGATGAAAACAAAATCTTCTGGAACTCTATATCAAACAAGGTTAAGTATGCTTTTATTTGATTGTTACCTTTTATGACATTTAAATTATATAGAATTGCAGCAGGCAATATTTATTTATTTTTTGTCCAACAGCCAGTTCGATCAATATGTAGTGAGAGCTGTCCACTTGGTACCCACATGATAAGAAAGAAGGGGGAACCCAAATGCTGTTTTGACTGCATCCCTTGTTCTGACGGAAAAGTCAGTAATATGAGCAGTAAGTGTATTTTCAGGTTTTTTTTTTAATCTGTCAGCATGACATGTTGAATTTTATTTTCTTTAAATATAGTATGCATTTAATTATCTTCCCCTTTCATCATCTTTCTCCCTTTTGCCAGACTCCTTGGAGTGCACCAGTTGTCCAGAGGATTTTTGGTCAAACCCCCAACGTGACCACTGTATTCGTAAGAAGACAGAGTTCCTCTCTTACCATGAGCCTCTGGGTATTTGTTTGACAGCAACTTCACTGCTCGGCACATTTATATGTGCTGTTGTTCTAGGGATTTTTATCTACCATCACAGAACACCTATAGTACGTGCCAACAATTCAGAACTTAGTTTCCAGGTATTGCTGTCACTCAAGTTATGTTTCCTTTGTTCACTGCTGTTCATTGGACAACCCAGGCTTTGGACATGCCAACTCAGACATGCAGCATTTGGGATCAGCTTTGTGCTGTGTGTCTCATGCATCCTAGTAAAAACCATGGTTGTTCTGGCTGTGTTCAAAGCCTCCAAGCCAGGAGGGGGAACCAGTCTGAAGTGGTTTGGTGCTATGCAGCAGAGAGGAACAGTTCTGTTTCTTACATCTATTCAAGCAGTCATCTGCACTGCTTGGCTTGTTTCTGCTTCCCCAACTCCACATAAAAACACCCAATACCAAAATGATAAAATTGTTTATGAATGTGTAGTTGGGTCTAGTGTTGGTTTTGCAGTGTTATTGGGCTATATTGGTGTGCTAGCTTTCCTCAGTTTTCTAATTGCATTCCTGGTAAGGAATCTTCCTGACAGTTTTAATGAGGCCAAGCTCATCACATTCAGCATGCTAATCTTCTGTGCTGTATGGGTGGCCTTTGTTCCTGTCTATATCAGCTCACCGGGAAATTATGCAGATGCAGTGGAGGTATTTGCCATCTTGGCCTCAAGCTTTGGCCTCTTGATCACATTGTTTGGACCCAAATGTTACATAATCCTGCTGAAACCAGAATTGAACACAAAAAAGGTGGTAATGGGTCGTGGCGCTGAATTGTAAAAATGTTTTCACATAAATTAAAATACATGCATGAAAATAAATACAATTAACTGATTAGATCATGAATATAAAAATAATTTGATTCATACAAGACTGATATTGTTTATACTTGCATATTTTGCCATTCTATGTATTCAGAAATATATTGACCAGGATTTATAATGCTCTTATATGACTAGGGATGGGTATTGATAAGATTTTCACGATTCCGATTCCATTTTCGATTCTGTTTAACGATTCGATTCTTTATCGATTCTCTTATCGATTATTTTTTT